CTTCCAGACGATTGCTCAATGGAAGCAGATGTTTGCATCTTAACTTTTTTATCTCATTACCGTATGTAGGACAATGAGTCGCCTTGGCTTGTTTGTAAGACCCCAGGCGCTTGGTTATCTGTCATAAAGCCCTCCGTCATGAGAAATAGTTCTGTTTGTCCAACAGGCCGTGTCCGGACCTATTGTCCTCTGGCCTCAAGGAGAGCACATCCAGTTTCGCTGACTCTGAACTTAGGCCAATTTTTGCCCAGGGACAGTCCCTACAGATTGTTTGAGCTCAGGAGTTCGAAACCAGCCTGAGCAAGAGTGAGACCCCATCTCTACTAAAAATAGAAAAAATTAGCCGGGCATGGTGGCGCATGCCTGTAGTCCCAGCTACTCGGGAGGCCGAGGCAGGAGGATCGCTTGAGCCCAGGAGTTTGAGGTTGCTGTGAGTTAGGCTGATGCCACGGCACTCTAGCCCAGGCAACAGAGTGAGACTCTGTCTCGGAAAAAAAAAGAAAAAAGAGTCCTTTGTCCTTCCCCCCAGCCTTCTGACCATCTGTCACGTCCCTCCCTCCACTCCAAGCCTCTCAGGCCACAGGTCCAGCCTGCTGCTCGGGGAGGTGGACAGCCCTGAGTTGGATTCGAGAGTGAAACCTAAACCGGTCTGGAAGGTCAGGGAGGTGGCCTGGGATGTCATTAGGGAGTGGGAAGGGGGTACTAGACATGGCTCAGGGTGATGGGGGTGGTAGGGAGTGAAAAAATGTCACATGGGAGAGGCAAGAGAGGCCTCATTAGTGGTCAGGAGCTTGGCTGTGGCCCAGACAGCCTGGGTCAGAGTCCCTACTTGGCTGTGTGACTTTGGGCAAGTTACTTAAGTTCTCTTAACTTCAGTTTGCTCATCATAAAGTTGCTGGGAAAAGTGAATGAGTCAGTGCAGCAAAGCCCTGCAAACAGGGCCTGGCACATACCAGGTGCCGTGAAGTATTAGCATGGCCCTGGCTACCCAGGGGCAGGTAGGGGCTGTGGTTGGTTCTAGTTCTCAGAGTCAGAGTCACCCTGTCCCCCACCTCTGGCTGCTTTTACCTGGTTCCTGGAGAAACCTCCTCCATGGCAACCGTCTCCACAACAACCTGGTCTGGACTCTTCCTTCCTTCCCCCACTGACATCACCGCCTCTTCCCCTGGGAAGCTAATGTTGACTAGAGGCCAGGGAGGGAGCACAGGTGTATGCAGTTCCCCACCCTCACCCGTCACCCCACACGCCCATCTGCTGCTCTCTCAGAGTCCCTTGGCCCTGGTGCTTCAGCCCCCCTGGGGTGTCCTATGCAGGGTGTCCTATGCGTGCCCAGCTGCATTTCCTGGGGAGCTGCCTGGTGGCCTGCACAGCCGCCCAGGGCATTTCAGCCCCAGCCTGTTCTCAGCCAGCATCACCAACCACCCCAAAGAAAGCAGGATCCTATCTTTAGAAACTCTTCTGCCTGTGCTTTTGCCCTCGGGGTAAAGTCAGGACTGAGCCTGGCCCCTGCCCACCTCCCCAGCCTCACTACTTCCCTCTCAACCCCTTTCTGGCACCCCATGGGTGGTTGGTTGGTTGGTTAGTTGTTTGGTTTGATGGCTTTAATCTGCGTCCGTTTATCAAAGTGTTCAATTCAGTGATTTTTAGCACATTCACACATTGTGTTAACATTGCCACAGTCAACTTTAGAATCTTTTTGATCACCCTTAAAAAACCCTTAGCTATTACCTCTCAATCCTTTCCTTCTGCCCAGCCCTAGGCAACCGCTAATCTACATTTTGTCTCTCTGGATTTGTCTATTCTAGACATTTTATTTCAACAGAATCATATACTGCATCACCTCTTGTGTCTGGGTTCACCCACACCGTAACAGTGCTTCGCTCCTTTTTAAGGCCGGGTAATAATCCATTGTACGGCACTCCGTAAACAAAACCACATTTTGTTTATCCCAACATCACTTTCAACTGACTGTTGGGCATTTTGGTGGACATTTGGGTTGCTTTTTGGCTTTTATGAATAATGCTACTATGGATATGCATGTAGAAGTTTTTGTAGGGGCGTGTGTTTTCATTTCTCTTGAGTAGGAACCTAGGAGTGGAATTGCTACATCATAGGGTAACTCTATGGTTAACCTTCTGAGGGACTGTCAGACTTTTTTCCAAAGTGGCTGCATCATTTTACACCACCAATGAACAAGGGTTCCAGTTGCTCGCATCCTTAGCAACACTTGTGGTACATCCTTTTTATTGGGTGTGAAGTGGCATCTCTTTGTGGTTTTAATTTGCATTTCCTGGTTGGCTAATGGTGCTGAGCTGCTATTTGCCTGTCTTCTTTGGCATCCTGTGGTCTCTCCATCTCCCGAAGCAGCAGGCTCTTGCCCACCTGAGCTTTTGCCTGGAATGAAGTAGTGACCTAAGCCACCAGCCTCTTCCACATCCTTCAGAACTGGACTTCGACATCCTTCCTCCTCTGGGAGGCTTTTCACAACCCTCCCCTCAGCCATCCCCCAGGGAAAATTAGTCACCGCCTCCCCTGGGCTTCCAGTAGGTTCTAACCAAATCTCTTCTACAGTGTCTAATGTGCTGTCCTATACTTTATCTCTTTTTGTCTGTTACTGTTAGTAAACTGGATTCTTTAAGGGCGGGGACCTTGTCCTACTCATCCTGCCTCAGACATTGATGTTAACCTTGGGCGAGATACTTAACTGGAAAAGGAAGATACTAATGGTGCCTGCTTCACGGGAGAGAGTGAGAACTAAACAAGTTAGTAACAAAAAGCACTAGAAGAACAGCTGGCACAGAGCAGGCCCTGGATCTGTTTATTCCATTGACAAGCACAAGTCCGTTGCATTTCAGATGGCGCTAAGGCCCAAGGATGAGGCGGGTGCTGGGGAGGATTTCAGTGAAGCCAGGAAGACCTCAATGAGCAGGTGACATTTTAGCAAAGACCTGGAAGGAGTGAGGGAGTGAGCCATGCTTGTTTGCAGCATTGTTTATAATAAATAAAAATTAGAAGTATCCTAAATGTCCATCATTAGAGGCATGGATAAATAAAATGTGGCATGTTCCTACCACGGACTGGTTGACAGCAGCTAGAAGGAATGAAAAATATGCTGAGAAAAAAACAAGTTCTAGTGTGATCAGCACACTGTGTGCCAGCCTGTGTTTGAGCAAAAACACAGATAAACATTTATTTTCAGGCCGGGCGCGGTGGCTCACGCCTGTAATCCTAGCTCTCCGGGAGGCCGAGGCGGGCGGATTGTTTGAGCTCAGGAGTTCGAAACCAGCCTGAGCAAGAGCAAGACCCCGTCTCTAATAAAAATAGAAAGAAATTAATTGGAAAACTAAAAATATATAGAAAAATTAGCCAGGCATGGTGGCGTATGCCTGTAGTCCCAGCTACTCAGGAGGCTGAGGCAGTAGGATCGCTTGAGCCTAGGAGTTTGAGGTTGCTGTGAGCTAGGCTGACGCCACGGCACTCACTCTAGCCAGGGCAAAAGAGTGAGACTCTGTCTCAAAAAAAAAAAAAAAAAAAAAAACATTTATTTTCTCTGGTGATGGTTGCACACACAAATGTGTAAATAAAGGAGCTTGTACCAAGGGTTACGCGACAGGCGCTGGGGACCAGGATGGAGACCAGTGATCAGGAGGATCTTAGCTTTACCAGTGACATTCAGAAGAAGATGTATTAATTGTGTAGTTAAAATTTAAATGTTAAAAATGCAGTTTGGTAGAGGGGGAAAAATCTTTCAATAAAAGAGAAAGAAACAAAACAGTTCTTGGCAAAAAAAGGTAGGAGGCCTAGCACCCGAGTAGTCCTCAACTCTCTTCCAGTCCGATTATTATATATTAAGAGTGATTATTCTAGAATCCTCCTTAAAATCTGCTCTTCTAGTTGTTTCTTGACTTCTTTTCCATGCCTGCCTAAGCTGATCGGTTCTTCCCTGGGGAAAATTGCTGTTTGTCCCACCATGTGCGCCTTTGGGTACTCAGTTCTGGGCCTCAGGAGTGGGAAGGAGAACGCAATTGCTAATTAGCCTCGAAGTGACTTCAAAGGAAAGAAGGAAGAGGGGAAGGTTGAGAATCTAAGAATCACTCAGGTACTACCTTGAGGCAACCCTGTGTAGCACGTGGCAGTGGCAGGATTTTGGTTCCTCAGGCAAGTCAGCGCCCCTCTGAGGACCTGTTTCATCTGCCCAATGAAGAGAATAAGCCTGCTTAAAATGGTTTCTAAAATACTCTAAATGGAGAAAGAACAGTGCATCTAGCGTGCTGCCTTTCGTGGACAAACCGGGCCAGTGCAAACCGTGCTTTGGCTTCAGTGCACGAACATCTCCAGAAAGAGTCACAAGAAACCTGGCGGCCTGTCTCCACGCATGAGCGCTGGACTGTGGGACTCAGGGAAGACGTTTGTATCTTTTGAACATAAAATCGGGTGAATATACTACCTATTCACAAAAATGAGTTTAATTTTCATTTTTAAAAAGGCCCTCCAGTGTCATGGGTTGGTTGAGAAATGGGACAGATGTGGTGTTACCGAGCAGGAGCGGGAGCGCTTAGGAGCGCTTAGGCGTTGAAATGTTAAATGTCTAAAGGTGCAGCAAGGGTTCAAAGGACTCGGCTGGGAGAAACAACAAACAGGCGGCGCCATCCCGCCGGGAGGCTTCCCGCCCTCCCTCCCCTGAGGCGCAGGCAGACTGGCGCGGGCACGCGCGCACGCGCGCACACACACCCCCTGTTCCTGTCTCTGCACAGGTCTAATCCTTAATGCAGGTGGTTTTACCTGGGAGGTGGAAAGGCCTCTGGGGGGAAGGGCTGGGGAAGTTGGGACCAGAATCCCAGGTGGTCTAAGGAGGTGTGAGAGGGCAGCTGAAAACCCACAGGCTCTCCCTCCTCCCTCCCTGCAGTTAAGGACACCTTGTTCTATGGAGGACGGGTGACCTTTAGACGGGGTTGGGGGAGGTGGGCTGAGGTTTCCAGCCCGCAGGTTTGGCCTAAAGCAGCCCGTCTGCAAAGCTCCCTTCCTGCAAATGGGGTTGGCTATACCCGCTAGGCAGTGTGGTTATGTAAGAGCTGGATGGGGCAGCCCAGACTACAACTAGCTCCCTCCAGGCGACTGCAACAGCCTCCTCGCTCCCCACACTGCAGCCTGGGTGAGTCTTTCAAAACATAGCCCAGACCCTGACCAGTCGGAGCCTTCCTGTGGCCTCATGGCCCCGCAGCACTCTGGTCTGGCCACTTGGCCTCCTCCTCCTCACTGCTTTGAGACCTGCCTTTGTGCCGCTGTCTCTTTGGCCTGGAGCGTTTGAGTCTGCCTCTATTATTTATCAGTTGATTTCCATCCTTGAAGGGTAGATTCTGAGCCGCCCTGTTCCATGAGGTTTAGGGCACTTTTCTGTGACAGAAGGGAGGAGGGGAACTGATTCAGGAGACAGTTCAGAAGGGGGGGGGGCGGGGGGGTTGCGGTGAGTGGACAGCAAGCTCTGTTTGACATGTTAGGTTTGCTGTGCTGGGGTACAGCCCGGGGGAGATGCTCGGGTAGACAGGGACAGCAGTGTGGACAGGGAATCCCTGCACTAACACACATGGCAAAGGTCCTGGCCAGGTGCCACCACAGAAGGACAGTGGGGGGTTGCGGTGAGTGGACAGCAAGCTCTGTTTGACATGTTAGGTTTGCTGTGCTGGTGGTACAGCCCGGGGGAGATGCTTGGGTAGACAGGGACAGCAGTGTGGACAGGGAATCCCTGCACTAACACACATGGCAAAGGTCCTGGCCAGGTGCCACCACAGAAGGACAGTGAGGGAAGGCGGCGCCCAAGGAGGGTATCTGAGCCTCAGCGGGGATCAACCTTCCCTGGGCAGAACCTGCCAGCCTCTGATTTTCCCTGTTTTCTGTCTCCTCTCCTCTGTTCCTCCACTCTGGGAGCTTTTCTCCCCCCTTCTGGTCTCTCTGGTTCCACTGGTCGTACTTCCTCCTCCAAATCTGAAGTAGCTAATTCCATGGGGAAAAGGTAGGTTCCCTCAAAGACAGCTCCTCGCCCTGTCCTACCTGCGTCTGGGCTTGCCATTGTCAGCAGCGTCACCAAGTGGCTGTCGGCCGAATGCCAGGAGCATTCGTTGAGCTGTCTTCCCAGAACTTGCATTAATCAGAAGTTAGCATTTGCTGAGCCGGAGGATAGAGCAGGCACCGGGCTCAGTACCTCACATGGATCAGATGATTTCATCTTCACAAGGAGCATATGATCAGCGTGCTGTCATCCTTGTTTTTCAAATGAGGAAACAGGCACAGGGGATGAACTTAGAATCTCAGGTCCCGGGGCCAGGAGTGGAAGAGCAGGGGCTCAGCAACTGGCAGGAAAGGTTCCTATCCTGAGGGCACAGTCTGTGGCCTGGACTTCTAATGACAGCTCCAGCTCTAGCCTCCCACCCATAGCCCCTCCCTGCCCATCAGTGGACTGGACAGACCTGGATTCAAAGTCATGAGCCCCTTCGAGGAGGCCTGGGACATAGAATCCTTTGGCTGGGCTCACTGCTGGCTGCCCCAATGAAGGAGAGTTTCTGTCACCTGCGCATCAGAGCTGCGTTGCAGGGCATCACTCAGGCTTCTGCGGGGACAAGATGGAGTGCAGTAGTGGGGTCAGGTAGGGGTGTCAGGGCTTGACTGCAGAAGGCGGCTAGCCTGGTAGTCAGGCCTCTGACCTGGCCCCCAACCCCACTTCCCCACAGTGACTTCAGAGGCTCTTGTGGAGCTCCCTCTGCCACGTGTCTGCCCAGAGAACCCCCACTGATCCTTATTTCTTTAAGAGATAAGGGGTCTTTCTCTGTTGCCCAAACCCCTGGGCTCAAACAATCCTCCCACCTCAGCCTCCTAACTAGTTGGTACTGCATGCCTTAAGACTTAATTCTGACCTCTTTTCCCCGGTGAAAACTCCCTCTGTCTCAGGTGTTGGCCCAAGAAAGGTCTGGATTCCCAGCCTAGGACTATTGTTTGCTGCTGTGTGACCTTGAGGAGGTCTGAGCCTCTCTGAGCCTGTTCCCCGTCCAGGAGGGGTTCGGGGTGCTACTATGTAGTGCTCCCAGCACGGTACAGGTTGTGTAGTTGGTGCTCAGTGGGTGGTAATTATTATTCATTCTCATTCAGTCAGACTGACCATGAGCATTTATCCAATGCTTGCTGAATACCAGGCACTACTCTAGGTGTTGAGGATACAGCAGAGAACAAAACAGGGAAATTCGGCCCAGTGGCGCTGACACCATCACCATTGTTAGCCTTCCTCTCTGCTCCCAGGCAACCTTGTCCTTCCCTCTGTCATAGATGGCCCGTTGCTGGGTGGCAGCAGAGATCTACTCTCACACATCCACACAACGGTGTCACGCCAATGGCAGGGGATGTCCAGAGTTTCAGAACCACACTTCACTGTTCCTCTCTGTGCCAGCTCCCCAAGCGCTGGGGGCGGAGCGACTGCGGCACCTCTCCCCCTGGTCTCCATGCACAGAGGCAGACCTGCCCCAGCCCATCACCTCTGACTCCAGACCCTTTCTCGACCCCAACTCTATGGTGCGTTTCCCCATCCATTTCTCTAGATTTAATTCCGTTCCGTTCTTTCTCTGTTCTACCCACCCCCACCCTCATTAGTTTCATACGGCTGCTGTAACAAGTTATCACAGTCTTAGTGGTTTAAAGCAGCACAAATTTGTTCTTATAGTTCTGGAGGTCAGAAGTCTAGTAGATCCACAAAGCTGCATCTCTTCTGGTGCCTTTAGAGGAGAGTCTCTTTCCTGGCCTTTTCTAGCTCCTAGAGGCTGCCTGCGTTCCTTGGCTCGTGGCCCCATCATCTTCAAAGCCAGCAGCGTCGTATCTCTCGGACCATTCTTCCCTAGTGACGTCTGCCTCTGACTCGACTCTGCCGCCTCCCTGTTCCACTGAAGGACCCTCGTGACTACCTTGGGCCCACGAGGATGATCCAGGATAACTCCCGCATCTCAGCGTCCTTAACCTAATCACATCTGCAAAGTCCCTTTGCCACGTAAGGTCGCATATTCTAGGTTCCAGGATTAGGGAGTGGGCACATCTGTCTGTCTGCCCCCTAATCCTTCCTTTCCTTGTGATCCAAGCCTGAGTTCCCCCCACCCCACCTGCATTCTTTCCCAGACACACACCCCTGTCCCACACATCTAAGGAAAGGGGCTGGGGTTGAGCAGGACGAAAGGAAATCAGGAGAATCCCTGGGCTCGGTAACAATGACACCTGCCTCAGCCACGCCACCCAGCTGTTCTCCAGCCCCCCGTAGGACTTTCTCCCATCTCCTCCGTCTGTATCGGTCACTCCCACCGACTGGCCTTGGTTAATCCCCTCCCTCCTTAGGTCTTTGCACAGACCTTGCGATGCCCACTCTGCCCATCCCGCTTACTGCCTCAGCCTTCACCCCTGCACCAGCAGCCCCGGTTCCCCTTGCCCGAGCCTGGTTTTTTTCTGTGACGCTTGGCCTCTTCTAACACACCGTATAATTTGTTATGTGTATTGCTTTCTTGTCTGTCTCCCCGGCTAGAGCTTAAGCTCCACGAATGCAGGGGCTCCCTCTCGTTCACACCATATTTCCAGGGCCTTGAACAGTGCCTGGTATGTAGCAGGTACTCAAAAAATATTTGTTGTATGAACGAAGGTCTCACTGCAAAGAATTTGCTTACACCCTGTAACGCCCGCCTCAGGAAACAGGCCTTTATTTCTCTCTGTTGTCATCGCCTTGGTGTAGGGCTGAATAAATACCAGAGTAAGGAAATTAGGTGGAAGTAGGACTTGGAGTGGCAAGAACTAAAGGTGGAGGTCAGGTCGGTGGAACTGAGTGAAGGCTGGGGGTGGCGTGTGTCTGCGTGTCCGAGTCCCAGACAGGTCCTTCTCCAGCTCCCCGGGGCTGTGAAGGTGGCAGGTGTTGTTTGAAAGACAAGGGCAAGGGTGAGGGGCAGGTGGCTCTGCTAGTAACTCCCTTGGTCACCTCAAGGCAACGCTGCTACTCTGGGCCGCGGTCGTGCCGTCCAGCACTGAGCACCTAACCCAAGCACGCCCTTCACTTTTCCCTCGAAACCCACCACTTCCTCAGTTTTGACTCCTCCCTGCTTCTCCCCGCTCCCAGCACCTTCAGTTTTTCTTCTAGAAAAGCTCTCCCGTTTGGTAAATGTGGAAATGCCTGGGTGGGAGCTCACGATAGTTTGCATTTCTGAGAAACTCCCCAGGTCCTGGTCGTTGATGGCTTTGTTAACCTGACAGACCCTGTGGGCTTGGTGCAGACTTGCACGTTTCTCCAGTTGTGATTGCGTCTCTGTCTCGCGTGCCGGTTCAGCCTCTCCCCCTCCAACCCAGCCCCCACACACATCCAGCCACGTTACTCCTCCCACCCCTTAAAGTCCCCCCCTTGGCTCCCTCAACGTAAAGTCTGAGCCACCAGCATGGCATTCGTGGCTCTCCCAGCTCCTCCTGCCCATCATGTGGCACTGAGTCGCCAAGACCACCCTCAGGTTCAGTATTAGCTGGAAGGACTCACAGAACTCGGCAAAGCTGTCATCCTCCTGACAGGGTTTGTTACAGTGGAAGGATACAGATGAAAATCAGCAAAGGGAAAAAGATGCAAAAGTCCAGGAGAGACCAGGCAGGAGCTTCCAGCTGTTCTGTCCCAGTGGAGACACCAACAGCAATTAGTTCTCCCAAGAACAATGTGTGACAACACACTGAGTATTATCAGCCGGGGACGCTCGCCCAAGCCTTGGTGTCCAGGGTGTTTATGGGGGACAGTCCTCTAGGCATGGAGCCCCCCGTGTGGCTAAACTTACGTATTCATTCTCCAGCCCCCTCTAGCGGTCATACTGATACCATATGACCCAAGGCCACCACCTTAGATCACAGTGGTGGCATGGACTATCTGGTGTGGCCAGAGGCCCTAGGTAAACAAAGACACTCTTATGTGGCAGGACATACAAGCATTAGAGATTATCTCCCAGGAGCCAGTCAAGGGCCAGTCCGCTCTTTGGAACATGCAGGGTTTGAACAGCCCACCGAGTCAGTCCCCCTCCAGCAGCACCAAATCACTCGGCACCCCAGACGCGTGCCTGCTGTTCCAGCCTCTCTCCTTCACCCAGGCCCTTCCTCCAGTCTGGACGGCCCCTCCCCCCTCCCCATCTCTTCTTTCCCTGGCTAATCCTGCATCTTCAACGCTCAGCCTCTCCTGGGTAAGAGCTTCCTCCCTGCTTCCAGGACATGTGACCCAGCCCTGTCCCTGCCTTGAGCCGTGATCCTGAAGCCGACATTTGATGTGTCTCTGGCTGCCTCGACGGCAGGGGCCGTGGCTTAGCTAACCACTCTGGACCTCATTTTACTCATTTGTAAAATGGACCTGCCCCAAAGTTCGCTTTCAGGAATTAGTAATAAAACATTGAAAGCGCGGGACAGGGCGGGGTCGATGTGCACTCGCCATTGTTAGTGGATCCCTGGCAGCTGAGGCGTTGGAAACCAGTGAGGCGTTTAATGCGTGGTGAACCGGCAAACCAGACAAGTCCCCACGGAAGTGTTTTTTTCTTGTAGTTTTTTAATAGTTGCAAAGAGCTTTTTATAAACGCTCTTCTGGAAAATTTTACCTTATTAATAGCGTAAGCTGTCTCGAGCTGGGTTCTTGAGAACTGAGACGTGTAGGTGTAGCTGTTCAGATGCCTTCAGCAGCAGTTTCAACGCGCCCGCCTCCGGGTGGCTCGACAGTGAGGAGAGGTGTGTTCTGTCACACAAGAAGAGTTCCGGGCACGGCGCAGGGCCTCTCGAGAGTGAAGAGCCCTTTCTCAGAAGCTCCCTGAAGAGCTTCGTGACAGTGCCAAGGCCAGCATCCTCCACCCCCATGGAGGCTGACATTGATCTGGCTTGTTGGACGTGTCGAAGGCTCCAGGCGGTGCCGGCGCGCTGAGATCGGCTGCCTTCGAGCAGGCAGATCCAGTGAGGGCAGCTACAGGGGGTTCCTGTGACTCAAGTTAGGAGAGGACTCCTGTGGGCACGTCGAGAAATAAAACCTGGCCCGGACAGGGAAGAAGAAACAGACCTTGTGGATACTTTTCGTGACTGGGCTCTTGGCTTCTCAGTTGTGACCTTGTTTATTCTTCACAGATTGTCCTCACAGATGGGGACTCTGAGGCACAGAGCGGCTCAGGAGTAACTTGCACAGGAATCCACAGCTAGTAAGTGGCAGAGGCAGAATTCAAACCCAGCTCTTTGTCTGATGTCTGGAGACCAGACTCCGTGCCTGAAAACCTTGCGGCTGAACTACCTCGGCTGTTTTGGATGAAGGGAATATAAGAATATGAGGGTGCCAGGTGGAAGCTAGGGTACAGAATAGTGGCTGTGCCCCAGAGCAGGGCTGTGGGCCCATATAGTGGAGTAGAAATAAAGGGGTGCTTGCAGTTCACAGCCCACTGTGGGGTGAGAGCTGACAGCTTCTCTCCGTGTGGGCCTCTTCCCGCTTCTGTGCACTGGGCCATGATCTTGACCTCCCTGTAGGATGTTGTGAAGTCAGCTATGGGGCTGCCCAGAAATCTCTAGTCGGAATTAGCACGTCTCCTCATGCAGCCCAGAGCCCGCTGAGCTGCGAATTCCTGCCGAGCTTGTCCACCGACTTCCTCGCAGCTGGCACTGCCTTCTTCCTCTGCTCAGCACAGCTGCCACCGCGCTGTCCTGAGGAGGGAACCAAGCCTCGGGAGGGTTTGCTGGGCCTTGTTCAAGGTCCTAGCACTAGGGAGTGACTAAGTCACGTGTCAAATCTGCCAGTTTCTGTTTCCCAACTGTATCCGTTTTTTCTGGCTACTCTCACAAATTACCACAAACTTGGTAGCTTAAAACAACACAAACTTGTTCTCTTCCACTTCTGGAGGTCAGAAGTCCACAAGGAGTCTAGCAAGGCTAGCATCAGTGTGCAGGCAGAGCTGGTTCCATCTGGGGATCTTGGGGAGAATGTTTCCTGTCCCTTCCCTTCTAGAGGCCTCTTCACTCCTCGCCTTGCAGCCCTTCCTCCGTCTTCAAATCTCAAAGCGCAACACTCCAGTCTGCTACCGCGATCGCATGGCCTTGTCTTCTCTAGTCAAATCTCCCCTGCCTCTTTTTTTTTTTTTTTTTGAGATAGAGTTTCATTCTGTCACCAAGGCTAGAGTGCAGTGGCATGATCATAGCTCACTGCAGCCTCAAACTCCTGGACTCAAGCGATCCTCCTGCCTCAGCCTCCTGAGTAGCTGATGGGACTACAGGTGCGCACCACCACACCCAGCTAATTTTTTTTATTGTTTTGTAGAGTCAAGGTCTTATTCTGTTGCCCAGGCTGGTCTCAAACTCAAGCAATCCTCACTCCTCAGCCTCCTAAAGTGTACAAATTACAGGCGTGAGCCTCTGCGCCCAGCCCCTGTCTCCGTCTTATAAGGACACTTGTGATTATATTTAGGGCCCACTGGATACTTCAGGATAATCTCCCCATCTCAAGATTCTTAATTTAATCACATCTGCAA